ACTCCCATCTTGAAACATAAGAATGGCGAAACATGGCTGTCACTGTGGGGACCAGAGCCTACAAAGCTGGTCCCTGGAAACCTCCCTCTGTCTGCTGCCTGAAATTCCACTGAGAGTTATCCATTCCTTTGGCTTATGATTCCGTTAAAGTGAAAATCCCACTGAAAGAGACAATGTTTCTCTTTTTAGCTCCTGGAACTGAGTCTTTTTGGCTTGCACTGGTTTCCTCTGCCAGGAATATCTTCCCTCGGTTCCTTTAATGGTTTCAAGGTTCCTTCTCACCCTTAAGGTCTCAGCCTAAAAGCCACCTCCTCAGGGAAGCCCTTCCAGGTCACTGACCTAGAGTAACCCCCTTCCGCTGCCGGGATTTCAGACCCCAACAGTTTACTGTGATGCATTTACATACCACTTCTCCCCACAAGGTTGCCCTCACTTCAAGTCAGGGCCTCTAACCCCAGGGGGCCGAGACCATTTCCCTAGGTGGGCTGTCCCCCGCTCTCCTAGGTGACTGTTTCACTTTCTCCTCTCTCCTTAAGCCTCTAAAAGACCTTGCCCTTGACAACCACAACTTGAGAAAACAGACCCAGAAAGTAATAGAATCACCTGGCTTAAAGACAGGAGCCGCTAGGAGATAACTTGAGAGGAAAAAAAAAAAAGTGGCCCAGGATCACTCCAGCGAGCCCAAAGACAACAGGTCACACCCAGATTAATGCGAGAACAAGGTTCCGTGGTCGGACACTCAGAACTTCCCTTCGAATGGGCAGCCAGGCCGTGGCCTCCTCATTCGGGGCCAGCCCACAAAAAACAAGGGAATGCATCAAGGGAAACCCAATCTGAGGTCTCGGGCCGATCTCTGGGGAGCAGCATTAAAGGCTCTCCTTCCGGGTGCTCTCTGCCTCCCCACCGCCTGGCTCCTTGCCTGCTCACCACGCAGAGGGCACACTCACACGCACAAGCCACCATGCCACCACAGGGCCAGGGACAGGAGCCAGGGACACGAGTGCTCCCCGAACTCCACCTCAGTCTGACAGTGCAGTGCTGCCAAGCCCCCTTTCTGTGTCCCCTGTCCAGCGGCTGAACCTCTTCACGTCCTTCAAGCCCTGACAGACCCCTTCCGGCAAATGCCCTCTGACCTCCCAGCCAAGATGGGGGTCTTCCCTAGCTCCGTGCTTCCTCTTTTGTGGCATTTGTCATAATGCATTAGGGTTATCACCTAACCCCCTCACTGTTGCCCCTAACACACAGATGTGAGGACTTGGGGGCAGGGTCATGTGTCTGTGTCTACCACAGCCAGCCCAGGGCCTGGCATGCAGGTATCGGCACTCAGCACAGTGAAGGCTTGCAGAAAGCACAGAGGAAACACAGCTGTCCTGCCGCCATGCCCTTTGGGAGAATGGACATGCCTGGATTACCTGCAGGGCCATCAAGGTGTTGGCCAGGGCCTGGCCGTAGGTGTCATGGCAGTGGACAGCCAGGGCAGCCACTGGCACCTCATACATGACAGCAGACAGCATATCCTTCATGGTGCCAGGGGTACCCACGCCAGTGGTATCCCCCAGGGAGATCTCGTAGCAGCCCATTGAGTACAGCTTCTTGGTGACCTGAGAAAACAAGCATGCCCTTGGGGGGGACATCCGATTTCCCAAGCCAAGGGTCGAAGAGCTCAGAAGCGGGGGTCCTTAGCCTACGTGGAACACCCCATGTCTGAGCACTAAATTCCTATCGGACCACAGGCTCCTTACAGCTTTATGAGCGGGAATGCCAATCCTCACTCTGCTCCTCAGGAGACCGAGACCTAAGGAAGCTGCCACTGGGGCCGGCCCTGGGCTCCAACCCCTGTGCTCTCCTCTGCCCCATGTCTCAAACTTCACTCCTTCACGTACCACCTTCACACACTGTGTCAGACCCAAGTCCTGGAATCAGTGAAATTGATCCCTTTCTTGTAGCGTTATCCTCAGTGAGATCTGTGGAATCATGGGTCTGAGGCAGGCTAGTTATTTATTTTTAATAGAAGTACATAACTATCTAAATTTTTAGAAGCCCATGTGCAAACCCCTAAAATCACTGCGAAACCAGAGGAGCACGTGCCCTGCCCGAGGAGACGCTGCCCTGCGTTGTGCTGCTGAGAAGGGGGAGAAAGGACATGGCAGGGCCAGGGGCCCGGGTGACGCCGACCGTGGTGTGCGGGATGAAGGGAATGGCGAGAGGAGTGTCAGGAGCTGTGGCAGCCCGTGGGGCAGGGGCGCAGCGGAAGGAGCGGCTTTGGGTGACGAGATGCTGGATTAAAATCCCAGTTCTGCTGCTCCCTGACTGTGGGACCTCGGCAAGGGACTTAACTTTTCTGAGCTTCGATTTCTGCATCTGAACAACAGTCACGAGCCTTCGAAGGGCTAAGGTGAGGACTGGTGGCAACGGGGGGCTGGGACCTGGAGCCCAGCAGCCGCTCTCAGCTGGCAATTGCGACTGTTACCGGTCCTCATTTTTGGATGCTATGTGGTGGTGAGGGACGAGCATGCGGGCTTTGGAGGTAAACAAGATGGGGGTTGAGACCTGATTGCACCATGTGTAACCTGCGTAGCGAGTTAGATAGTCCCAGTTTCCTCAACTGTAAAATGGAATAACAATAATAATACCCAATCTGAAGGTAGTTTTGAGGACTAAATGACACAAGCTCTTGTGTTGCTCACACCTAATTCCCACACTGTGTTCTCTCAGAGCTGACCTGGTTGCCATCCAGAGGATGTCAAGTGGCCTCTCTGACCACTCCAAGGAAATGCAGGGATCCCTGGGTGACAAGCCGCTCTGCAGAGGACTATCACCTCAATTACCACCTGTCCACAGACTAGATGGAGACTCAGTTGGAAGCTTTCACTCCGGGGTGGAGGGCTGGGACTCAAGAGACCCATCTTCCATGCTGAGCTAGGAGCAAATGCACGGCTGTGCTCATGACAGGCTTAATGAAGGAGCTGGGTGAATGAATGAAATCAATGACCAACCAGGAAAGGGTGGCGAGAGGAACCTATGCACTCATAGGCAAGGCAGCCAACCCTCACGAAAACCCCTGCCCTGACAAACACACCTCAGCTACTTTGGCGGGGGAGATCTTCCCTTCATAGGGGCATCCAAGCACACAGGAGACGTATCTGTGGGAAGACAGGGGAGGAACAGTGTCAATGCCCCTGAGCTCCCTGGCCAGCAAGGCTGAGGCAGGGTGGCTCTTTGACACTCATTCCTAGTTAGCCCACCATCAAAAACTGAAGCCGAGCTGGAGGCCAAGTGCCTGAGTGAAAGGCTAATGCAATGATGTGGGGCCAGAAGGAAGGCAGTGCTTCTTAGGGCCCGGAGAAGGCAGTGGAGGGCCATGGCAGGGACGGGCGGGGACTGACAGGCCAGTAGTTCAGGAAGTGGGGGGTGCACAGGTCTCAGGAGAGGCATCCAGAGACCAGCCAGGGAGAAGGAACTGGAGACAGCAACATGGGCAGGCACTTGAGCCGCACGGAGGTGGGGTAAAGCTGAATGTGGGCCAGGGTAGCTGGGGCCCATACTCACAGGAGGAGATCCAGGATCCATGAGACCAAAGGCAGGGACAAGAGCTAGGCTGGCACGAGGGCCAAGGGATCAGCTGCTCTGATGAGCTGCCAGATGATTCATTCACTCATTTATTCAACTGATATTTACTGAGTTGCCCACTACGGGCCAGTCACTGGGGTAGTGCAGTGAGCAAGACTGACAAGGTCCCTGCCCTCACGGAGCCTATTTCAAGTTAGTGAGACAGCCGATAAAAGGGCAATCAAATAAGTGAATGGATGAACTGAGAAAGCGATGTGCTGTGAAGGAAAGAACATGGAATGTGGCGGGAGCTACTAGAAGAGGCCAAGAGTAGCTGGGTGGCCCAGGAAGACCTCTGGGAAGATATGACGCTGGAGCTGAGAGAAGGAAAGAACATTCCAGGCAAGGAGGAGATTCAGTTTAGGGGCCCTGAGATGGAAAAGTTGCCATGTTCAAGACAGAACAGAGGATGAACGGCTGAGGCATGGGGAGCAAGAGGCAAAGAAGTACAAGATGAGGTTGGAGAGGTGGGCACAGGCCCGATCACAGGGTCTTGCGAGCTGTGGTAAGGAGTTTGGATCTTGGATGTAGGTGGCTTCTATTCCCGCCCACCCTGTTGGAGCTGAAATGCCACTAAAACCTTTTAGAGTCCAGCAAACTATTCTGCATATCGAGAGGCATAACAAATGTTTGCTGGTTAAACAGATTCAGACTCAAAGATCTCATGAATTTTTCCGTTTTAATTCTCCCCTTTATTTTCCGATCATTGCTGAGCAAGGAAAAGGTAAGAGAAATACCGAGGAAAGAGCACAGGCTTGGGAGTCCAGCAGACCTGACGAGCCCCTGCTTCCCTATCCATCCATCTGCCCATCGGTTCCTGAGCACCTACTGTGTGCTGGGCCCTGAGGTGGGAGAGGGGCACACCAGGGACTAGGAGAGATGCGGGCTCTGCCTTCATGGACAGCATGGGCTAGTGGGGGTGGGAGGCAGGGGAAAGTTTAATAAGCAGCTAAGTGCTATGCTAGAGGATGTCCAAGGGACTACGGGAGCCCAGTGGAGGGGTCCTAACTCCAGATGGGAGACAGAGAAAGCTTCTTGGAGAAACTGGCATCCACGAAGGGACCTGAAGGATGAGCAGGAGTTAGCTCTGACAAGTAGGATGTAGGAGGAAGACAGTTCTGAGTCTATAGAAAGCCATGCCAAGGCCCAGAGGTAAGAAAGAATGGGAGCATGCGACAAATGGAAAGCAGTTCCAGTTGGGCTGAAAAGCAGTGTGAGAGGAAGCAGGGCTGAAAGGGATCGGTGAACGGCGAGGCTGCACAAACAAGAGCAGGGGCTGAATCATGCAGGGTCTTGTAAACCATATGGAAAAGTCTGGAGTTAGGGAGTCACTCACTGTAAGGTTTTTAACCATGGAGCGATGTAATCAGAAAGAGCACTCTGGCTGCAATTCGGACAACTGTGTGACCCTACAGCATGCTCCTCATCCTTCCTGAGCCTCAGTTTTGTCTCTGTAAGTGGGGCTAGCCCCATCCTCACTGGGTGATTGTGAAGTTCCAATTAGGTATTACATGGACAATGCCTACCACTACTGCAATTTAAAGATGTGATCTTGGAGACATAGAGAACTAAGGCATTGTTCCCCAACCTTTTTGGCACCAGGGATCAGTGCTCCTATGAGAATCTAATGCCTAATGATCTGAGGTGGAGCTGAGGCGGTGATGCTCGCGCTGGGGAGCGGCTGCAAATATGGATGAAGCTTCACTCACTTGCCCTCCGCTCACCTCCTGCCATGCGGCCCAGTTCCTAACAGGCCATGGACTGGTACCAGTCTGCAGACCTGGGGTTGGGGACCCCTGGCCTAGGGGATTCTTCAGGAACATGTGAACTCAGTGGTAGAGCCAGGTGTACACTGACCTCCATGAACCCTGTTTAGTGTCCTCTCCTGCTAGATTCTTCAGGTGAACAGACCCAAAAGTCAGCTTTGGAGAAAGCTCTTGCTAGGATTTCCTCTGACGCATTTACTTGGGAAAAGATGTCTAGATGCGGAGCTTGGGCCATCTGCCTCCAGGATAAAGAGTTTGTGGGGGAGGGTCATTGAGTCAGAGCCTGGTCCTGGTCCAGAGGTACTGGGGAAAAGACAGGTAGCACCGATGTGCTCTGACTCACCCCCGCACAGGGATACTGGCGGCCTGAGCTGCCTTCAAGATTTGGTCAAACCGCTGAAAACTTTCTTCAATGGAGCAGTTGCTGTTCTTCTTGCTGAAGAGCTCAGAGGCAGCTCCAAAGAGGCTCACTTCCTTGGCTCCAGCAGCTACCTGCCAACAGCCAGGGGATTCTTTTCAGCATTTTTCTCTTCCAAGACCACTAAAGGGGTAAAAACCCTTGTCTTATAGTGAATTTTAGATATATGAATGTTATGGTTTGAATTGTATCTCCCTGAAAAAAAGATAAGTTGAAGCCCTAACCTCCAGTACCTCAGAATGTAATCTTATTTTGAAATAAGGTCATTGTAGATATACTCAGTTGAGATGAGGCCATAATGGTTCCTACTCCAATGTGACTGGTTTCCTTATAAAAGGGTGGCCATGTGAAGACAGACAGACACAGAGGGGAAGACCAGCGAAGGTGAAGGCAGAGACCGGAGTGATGCACCTACAAGCCAAGGAACGGCGACGGTGTCTGGTCAGAAACTGCCAGAAACTAGGAGAGAGGCACGGAACAAATTCGTCCTCGGAGCCCTCGGGGAGAACCAACCCAGCTGCCACCTGGATTTCGGACTTCCAACCTCCAGAACTTTGAGAGAAGACATTTCTATTGTGTTAAGCCACCTTGTTTTTGGTATTTTGTTATAGCAGCTGTAGGAAGTTAATACAGTGAGTTACATCTCAATGAAAAAGAAACCTTGGCCTTCCCCCAAGGACCAACATTGCCACTGCCACCAGCACCCTGGAAGTCAGCCACTCTTTAAAAGAAGCTTTTTGTCTAAATTAGAATCAATATCTCCAATGACATTCTTGTCCAAAATTATAAGAAAGTTCGCAGATATTCGCAGCTACTGTTGAAGCTCTTGTGGAGAACTTGCTTACCTTTTTCTAAAGAGAAAGTGGGTAAGAACAACAAAAGCTACCATTTATTAGGCACTTATCAGTTATCAGGCTCTTGCTAAGCAATTTCTGTGCGTTCTATCTTCTGAAATGCTCACAATATCAGCCCTATCTTATAGGCAGAACCCGAGGCTTGTCAGGATCTGAGAGCTGGCGGTGGCAGGGCCAGGACTGACAGTGGTCATCACCACCTGAGACAGCCTTTCAGATGGACATCCTGGAACAGGGACTGAGGCCCAGGGCCAAGGAAGGGACCAGTGCCATCAACCTTATTTCAGGGGCCCCCGCCGACGAACTAGTCTCTTACCGCTGCCTGGAAGCCTTTGACATTTGGGATCAAGACTGGGTAGCTGATGCCAGGAAACTTCTGGATGCCCTTCAAGACTTCTGCATGGTCAGCCATCTGGGAACCAAAGGAGATACAACGGAGGCATCACCAAGAACAGGCGGAGAGCTCGGGTAGAGAAAATCTTTTAATCACAGGATCTCTGTTCTCCAAAACCCAGGAGAATGAGTCCTTCTGCAGAGGTGATTTTCCCCCACGCTTTTACTATATGTTTGCTGATGGGCCAGAAGGTCCCTTGGTGGGGGCGATAGCGCCCGTTTCTCCATATAGCTAATACTGTCAGCTTTACATAAGCAGTAACAGCAGTAACAATACTACTGGCCGTTTACTGAGCATGCGCTCTGAGCCAGGCGCTGGGCTCAGCTCTCTCTGAGTTATCTAACACTCAGCTGGAACAGGATCTTCTTTCCCTCCCTGTCTGTCTCTGAAGCAGGCAGCATCAGTTTTTCCTTCTTACAAAGGCAGAAACTTCAAGCCAGGCCTAGAGATTCTAGACTTCTACAGCCAGAAGAGGTCATCTTCGACTGGAGAGGAGATGGCCACAAGGTCACCAAGCAAGTCGGGGCAGAGCCAAGACTGAATCCAAGCGTCCTACCTCCCAGGTTACATTTTTTTGCTGCTAGGACCACTCAAAGCCAGAGACTGGGAAACCTACGTGCCTGACTTCTACTTACTTCCAGGGCAAATGCAAACCTTTCCATCCCACTCCTCTGAGAAATGCCTTTTCCTGAGGGCTGGAGCTCACCTGAGGAACCCACTTGGGAGACACAAAGCTGGTGGCTTCTATAACAGGGAGTCTTGCTTCAGAAAGCATGTCTATCAGCTTGATTTTCACTGGAGTAGGTACGATATTCTGCAATGAAGACACAAACACCGGAACAGACAGGTCAGCAAAGCTGGGAAGAAGTGGCCTCAGAAAGCAGTACCTGTCAGCTCAAATCTTTTGCTACAGTAAGCACTTTACTATCTCAACTTCCAAACATGAATTCACATGTAATCCTCGCCAATAGATGGGGTTCAAGGAGTCTTCAAGTTCTACAGATAGCGTTTTGCAGCTTCTTACCTGAAAAGGAGTTAATATTTACATGGAACAATATTTTTCTGCCATACAGGCTTTTCTTAACTAAATGTTTGTTAATTTATGACCCCATCATAAAGAAGTTAAGAGCAATGTACCATGGCCTGAGCAGGGAGAGACGACTAACCCTCTGGGCCTTATGAGATAGGGTCCCCGAATTATCATACCCTCCCCTTTCCTATCTCTCAACTGGCACAAGATTTCCTCCTCATATGGTCAGCCTCCTGTTTCTTTCTCTCCCTCCCCGACTCTGTCTACTTGCTAAGCAGAGTCTATGGATTCCTCTTTCCATATCTAATATCATTATCTTGTGTAAATGATGGCATGATCTCACTCCAATTCATCCCACAGGAATCCTCTTAAAACACAGTTTCCAGTGTCTCACTCTACTGCTCAAAAGCCTTCCATGGTTCCCTAGTATCCAAGGATCAGGTAAAAAAATCCTAAAGACTTCAAGCCCTTCTATATCCTCCGCCATGATTTGTCTTACACTGTTTTCACGTAATCCACTCCACAAATAATTTTTGAGAGCCCCCCATGTCCCAGGGATTGTGCTGGGTGGTAGGGATAGAGCAATGAGTAGAACAGACATGATTCTGCCCTCATGGAGCTTACAGCTTATTGTTTCCATCAAGTGCTCACTATTAAATCAGGCTGGTCATGCTTAGGGAAAAAAAGCAACTTTTCTTAATGAAAAAATAATACATGATTATTTCTGAAACATATGCCAAAAACAAAAGAAAACCACCCTTAAAACCTCTTGGATATGTAACTTTCTAGATCTGTGCAGTCCAATATGTTAGATACTAACCATCTGTGGTTATATAAATTTAAATGAATTAAAATGAAAAATAAAAATTCAATTCCTCAGCCGCGCTAGTCACATTTCAAGTGCTCAGTAGCCACCTGTGTGTAGTGGCTATCACATGGGACAGCTCGGGTCTAGAACATTTCCATCTTCACAGAAAGTTCTATTGGATAGCACTCTTCCAATTTTCTGCTATTACCAACAGTGTTGTAAGGAACATCCCCAAGGCTAAATCTTTGCATGAGGCCTTAGTGACTTCCTTTGGATAAATCCCCTTATGCTGGGTCTAAAGGCATGTCCTCGCCTGCACTCTACACTCCCGCAGCACTCATCATCCACCCCAGCCCCCTGGGCCTTGGATTGGACACGGGGATAGCACACCTGTTGTACCATCTTCTCACATTGCTTAACTGTCACAGGTGCCTGCCTGGTTTCCCTGGCCCTACCCTAAGTTGGGCAGAGTGATCACGTCTTGCATCCCTGATGCACCTACCCATGTCTACTCTCGATGGTCAAAAAAACTTTTTTGGTTGATCTCCAACTTTACCTTTTCATTTTGTAGTCCGTCTCGGGGACCAACTTCCACAATTTTCACCTGCTTTGGGAAAGTTCCCACAGATGAGGTGCTGATCTTAGGTTAAAAAGAGGAAACAAAAAATAATGAGAGTGTCACAATTCCCTAGGGGGAAAAATCTGAAAGAATGGATCCATCTTCACTAATACTGAGACAAGGAGCAGTATTGCTCATCATTTAATTCATACTTGGTCTCTTTAAGAATTAAGAGAAGAAAGAAAATGTCATTTAGAAAGAGAAATAAACAGGATATTTGTGCTCCCAGTACAGGCCCATTACCAACTCCCCTGAAGTCCGGACCCATTTCCAACTGCCTGACAGCTAAGCATTTACACAAAATTATTTGTACCTCTCAAACCTTGAAGTCCCAAAGCAGACTGTTTAATTCCTCCTAAAGCCCAGTTGACTTTACCCTGTCTCAGAAAAAAGCATCATATGCATCCTGTTGCTTAAGCCAGAAACGTGACTCATCCCCTTCTCCCCACTCACCACGGCCTATAAAGTTCTTATCGTTTGGCTACTGCAGATGTCAGTGAACTCATTTCATTACTTGTTCTACTGTTCGACATCTCCCTCCCCCACTGCATGGGGTCACTATGCTCCAGTCCCACTGGCCTTTCTCCCACAGCAGAGCCTCAGTTACTCTTCCCTCTGCCCAGAGTGCTCATCACCTGGCTCTTCCAACATCTGGTTCCCTCTCTCTTATCTTTCAGTCATAGATAGGCCTCTTCTGAACACCCTTTGTAAATAAAGCTACCAATCCCCTCACCCTCATTATTTCCCATTTCAGGACTGCAATTACTTTCTTCAGATTACTGCAAATAATGTCCACTCAGTGTTCCTCCAGTAGAATGTGAACTCTTTGAGGGACTTTGTCTCAACTTCCACTTCATCTCTTGTGTTTGGCATTGTGCTTGGCATAAAGTAGGCACTCATTAAAAAGTTACTAAACAACAAATAACTGCACGAAGGGCACAGCTGTGCGAAGAGAGGGCAATTACTGGGTGTGGGGAGGAGTTAGTCTTGGACTTAGTGAGGTTGGGGGGATGGAGGAGGGCTCTGTTCATCACGATCGCAGGCTGGGTGGTGACAAGGAGAGCAGTCTGAGGGGAGATGACACCTTCAGCAACTGAAGACATTTAAAAAAAAAAAGGCCTTGAGTCTCCTCTATATAAAGTCTGCCCCAAATCTTCCTCTCCTCACCCCAAGTAATACAATTTCTCTCTTTTTTCTATTCTTCTCAATACTACAACACTTCAAATTTACTTCGTTTTACCAAATTTAATCATACTGCAATGTGGCAAGGGGAGAGGTGCACTGTGTAATCTACTAAAGATCTCCTGAAACGCCTAAGTAAGGAAATATTCCCCACTATATCAGCTGGCACTTGAATGACTCTCTTGGACTGGCCTTGGTTTTATCCATCAAGCTTCCTAGAGATTAAAGTGATGAACCACTGAATTGCATGACATTAACAGGCTAAGCTGCAGGGTCCCTGCAAGTTGAATCTCTATCCGACAGGGGTGTTCATCCTCTGCTGGTACGTAACCCTAAAACGACCCACTGGAATGTAAGCTTCATGAGGCAGGGACTTTGTCACATTCACTGTTATATTTCCAAGGCCCTGGGACCTAACAGGGGCTCAATAAAGAACAGTTGAATGTTGTTGAAACGACGGGGAACCTGCTTCCAAGTTCCTTTTATTAGAACAAAATAAACTCAATTTCACTTCCTTCCACATAACTCTTCATGTAACAATAATTTACATTTATTAGGCATTTAATATTTGGAGACACTTACAAGTGCTTTCTACATATTAACCCATATCTCTCTCTCAACAGCCTTATTAGGTAGAAACAATTACAATTCCCATTTTATTGTGATAAATGTGAAACCCAAAGAGATTAAGTAACTTTTCCAAGGTCACACAGTTACTAGTCACTAAGCCAATATTTAACCTGGCAGTTTGGATCTAGAGCATGTGCTCTCAACCCCTAGGTCATGTGGCCTCTTTGCCACCTTTGGTCCCTCCAGGCTTCTCTTCTCTTGGTTAAACATCTAGTTTTGTCACCCTGTAAAGTTCTGCTCAGAGATGATTCCCCTCTAACCACCAGTCCTGAGCCACAGCTTCTGGAGCTATGGTGTACCTGTATCAACGGCTAATACCGACTAACGCCCAGTTCCACCTTCAGGCATCAGTATCTCATTTAGTTCCTACACAGCGGGGACTATCATTATCCCAGCTCCACAGAGAAAGAAACCGCCTCAGAAAGATTACCCCAAATCACGCAGCTAGGAAGGAAAGACGTTTGGACTTGAACTGACTGCTTCTGGTATCACGTCTATGCTAGGAACTCCATGGAGGGCCTATCACCACCATCTCATTAAACCAGGAATTTTTCTCACAGCACATTGATATCCACCATCCTATTTAATTTTTTTAACTTTTCAAGTTGGAATTACTATCTATCTATCTATATATAAATATCTATCTATATCTATATCTATATCTATCTATCTATCTATCTATCTATCTATCTATCTATCTATCTATCTATCTATCTATCCATGTGCAACTGGTAGAGGTGGCTGGCTAGTAGACATTAGAGTGGTTTTCTGAGAAGGGTTCACTGCTGAGATAGTGTAATTTTTTCCTACCACACAGTTATAACTCCTAAACTCTCTAAGGCAAAAATACACTGAAAGATCACTTACTAAGAGCTAAAACAGTCAAATGCTTTACCTACATTTTCTTTAATTTCAAAACAACCCTAAGATAATGTCTACCCATGTTAAATGTCAATCCATGTCTACCCATGAGAAAACCGAGGTTTATAGAGTAAATAACTATGTCACACAGCCTAGAAAGTGGCAGAACCACCGGCCAGCACACTTGAGCTTTAACTAACACAATTTATTTAACTCTTACATAACTAGATCTCCGATATTTTCCATCCACTCACAGCATGGGAGAGAAGGAGAAAAACATCAGGATCAAACTGGCTTAAAGTACAGTTCCGAGGGAATCACGGCTAGGCCCCACGGAACCCCAGCCCTTGCAAGGTACTCTGGGATAGTCGCCAAGCGTCCCCAAAAGCAACAGGAGCTGGGAATGAAGTCGAAGGGAGAGGAATGGCCTTGCTTTTTCCCACTCGAATCTGGAAGGGTATTTGTGATTTTTCAGTAATGAGGAGCTTGGAGAAGTCTGACGCTTAATTAGAGGGAGAAAGATGCCAGAGTCACAGCGAAGCGCCGTGAACAGGGAATCAGGACACCGGCGATGGCATCCGGGTCTCCACGACCCGGACAAGTCGCTCCCTATTTCTGGGCCTCCGTTCTCCCCCATTCCCTCCAAGGGGTTTGGGCACGACAGAGAGGGTCTAAGACTCCGAGGTGCCCCTGACTCTAGCCTGAACAGGTGTGCCGCTTCGCCTCTGGTGGAGTGAGCCGGCCAACGGCAGGCCCCCGACCCGGACTGTCGCGTGGCCTGCAGGGCCACCCCTGGGCTAGCAGGGGGCACTTACGGCCCGGAGGGACGCCAAGGGCAGCCGTTTCTGCGGAAGCATGTTTCGCGTCGTTGCCATCTTGGCCCAAGAGGCCCCTGGGAAGCCCAGGGTTGCCGGAGCGACTGACCGCCGCTAGGAGGTGACGGCCCCGCCTTTAGGGTGGGCCTCTGGTGCGACGTGGTGTCGCTTCCCTTGCTCCACCCCAGCCTCACTCCCATAGTTAGATTTCTGTCTCCACATATTTGACCTCTTATACCCCGTCTACCTCCCTGCTCTCCCCTTCCCCCCAGCTCTGATAAACACTAGTCTATTGTCCATGTCCACGAGTCTCTGTTTGTCCTGTTCTGTCGCCGTAAAAAAAAAAAAAAAAAAAATTAATTGGAAAAAAAAGGAAAAGAAAAAATAAAATATTCTCTAAAGAAAAAAAAACGTGTTGTAGTTCAGTTACTGTGTTTAAATAAAAATATTTTTAAGGTTTGAAAACAAAAAAGAAGGTATAGAAATGGCCAATAAGCATATGAAAAGATACTCAGCATCAGTAATCGTGAGGGAAATGCAAATCAAAAGCGCAATGAGATGCCACCTCACATCTACATAGTAGCTATGTTAAAAAAAAATGGGCAAGGATGTGTAGGCATTGGAATCCTTATAGGTTGCTGGTGGGAATGCAAAAAGGTCCAGCTGCTGTGGAAAACAGTTTGGTGGTTCCTCAGAAAGCTAAGCATAGAATTATCATATGACCCAGCAATCCACTCCTAGATATATACCCAAGAGAACTGTAAAGCAGGGACTCAAAGAGATAACTTGTCTGTTGATATTTATAGCAGCATTAGTCACAAGAGCCAAAAGAGCTAAATAATTCAAATGTCCATCAACTGATGAATGGATAAACAAAATGTGGTGTGTGTGTGTGTGTGTGTGTGTGTAATATATTATTCAGACAAAAAAGGAATGAAATTTTAATACATGCTCAAACATGAATAATCTAGAAAATATTGTACTAAGTGAAACCAACCAGACACAAAAGGACAAATATTGCATGCTTCCACTTATATGAAATGTCTGGAATAGGCAAATTCATAGGGACAGAAAGTGGATTAGTGATTAGACAGTGCTGGGAGAGTGTTGAGGGAAGATGGGGGTGATTGTTAAAAAGTACAGGATTTCTTTTTAGGATGATAAGAATATTCTGAAGTTGATTGTATGGTGGTTGAACAGCTCTGTGAATATACTAAAAACCATTGAACTGTACATTTTAAATGGGTGAATTGTATAATGTGAATTGTATCTCAAAAATAAAGCTCTTTTTTTTTTAAATGGCAAACACATAATTAAATAAATGAAGGGAGGCAAAGTCCCTAAGATGACCGACAACAGAGTCCTTCGAGCCTCAAAGGCCCAGTCTCACCTTTCCACCTGCTTGAAGTTGGTCCACGGCCCAAGGAAGCCTCCACAAGTACAGTGTCATGGGCTTCGACAAGATCTCCTCAGATGTACCACATGTCCCCTGGTGGCAACTGTGGCAGGATTTCCTATCCTCAGAAAATTCCCAGCCCATTAATGGACTGTGGGAGTCACTTTTGTCAGTTTTCTAAACAAGCACAGTGAAAAATAATTTGTCAGCTTAAGACTTGATGGCAGATGGGAGGAAGTGGCCTCCCAAGGTCTCTAAAGAGTTGAGACATGCCTCAGGCCTCGATTTTGAAAGGGGTTAACCCATTCTTCTCTGCAAACTGTCCTGGCCTGGTCTGGTAATTCCAACACTAAATTATTTGAGACATTTGAACTAAGGGCAAATCTTGTATAAAGTTCAATTTACTTGTCTCTAGTGAGAAAGATCCTCCAAGGTAGGTTTACTGGAGACATTTGACATTATTTAGAAGGTTTAAGAGTTGGGGACATATCTTGATCCTCTGTTTTGTAAGGGGGTTCTTATCCGCAAGCTGCCACAGCAAACCATCCTTGCCTGTGACCCTTCGCTGAGCTAGTCCACCTGATCAGAGAGGCTGAAAGCAAATGACACACCTTGGACTTCAATTTTGTAAGAAGTTGGATCTACTAATCTCCATTGGAGATGGATTTCGGAATCATATCTACTCCAGACATTAAGGTGCAATCTGGAAGTATTAGAGATGGGGCAGAGTTTGGGACTCGAGCTAGTAAGGGTTGGATCTACGAAATTCTGATGGAACCATCCTGGAATCAAACCCAACAGTGTAGATTTACTTCAGACACTTGATGCACTTATTTAAGACTTAAGAGTTGGGGACACATATTGGGACTCAAATTTATTTATTTATTTATTTATTTATTTATTTATTTCGTCTCTCGTCTTCCTAGGTCGTCTCTCATCCAAGTACTAACCAGGCCCAACCCTGCTTAGCTTCTGAGATTAGACGAGATCAGGCATGTTCAGGACGGCATGGCTGTAGACTGGAACTCAATTTTGTAAAGAGTTGGATCTGCCGGTTTTCAAAGCAGCCATTCTCGAATAATGCCCAACAGTGCAAATTTACTCAAGACATTGTGTGTAATACTGAAGACTTAGAGTTGGGGTCACACTTTGGAATTCAATTTTAAGGAGTTGGATCTACTGGTCTCCATGAGAACCATCATGGAATCACACTTTAAAGCACTTCAAACATTCAGTATCTTCTGGAAGATTTAAGAGCTGGGGATACACCTGGGGCCCCCGATTTTGTCAGGAGTTGGATCTATTCCCAGAGACACCCCTCGGGATTTACTGGGGACTTTCCATACAATCAGAAAGGTTGAGGTGTGAAAACATTCAACGGGGCTGAGAAGACCCCCGGCTCCATCCTGCGGTCCCTACAGCTCCTTCCGCTGGGAAACTTAGGGCCATCTGCGCTATGCGAGTTGTTTCCTGCACGACTTTTGCTAATTTTGTTTTAGATACTTTAATACTTTTTGTTATTATAGTAAATGGAAGTTTTTCATAGTTTTCTCATTTCTGGACTGTAGAAATTAAATTGATTATTTATCAATCCAACAACCTACTAAAGTATCTTATTAATTCTAATAATTCATTTGTATATTCTGTGAAGTTTTCTGCGTGGACAATCGCATCATTCGAGAACAGCTTGGTTCCTTCCTTCCTAATTCTTTACATCTTTATTTCTTTTATGTATTTTACTATATTGATTAGGGCATTTCAAACAACATTGAATACAGTGATACTGGGTACTTCATCTCACTCCTGGTTGGAAAGGTTTGCTTCTAAACACCTACCCTTTAAGTATAAAGTTTGCTATAAATTCTTAGTTTGTACCCACTTCTTGTCTTGCTTGGCAAGGAGATTTTATTCTTAATCACTAATGTGTTTTAAGTTTTATCCAAACATTTTTTTCAGAAATTATTGAGAATATCATCTAGCTTTTCTCCTTTAATGTGGTAAATTCATTGATAGATTTCCAATGTTAATGGTAACCTTAAATTCCTGAAATGTAACCAATTTTAACATTATTTATTATACTTTTATGACTATTGCCGGGATTCAGCTTGCTATATTTTCCTTAGGACTTTTTGAATCTTTGTTCCTGAATAGATAGAATTATCCTCTTATTTTAGTCTTCTCCTGTAATTGTGGTATCAAAGTTACTGTAATATTAAGAGTAAGTTGAGACATGTCCCCTTTTCCTATTGTCTGAAAAACTATAAGACTTCCAACCTCTTTGAAAGTTTTGTGGGACTCATCTGTAAAACCATCTGGGTCTGGTGTTTTCATTATGGTGAAGATTGTGCACTAGAGATTCAGTTCCTTTAAATGTTAGAGGACTTTAAAGTCCTATTTCCCTGTAAGCCATTTTGCTTAATGCTATCTTCTAGAAATCTGTTCGTTTTAAATTTTATTAGTATAAAATCATTCATATTATTCTTTTTAATCCTGGTGTATAATGTGTCTGTTTTCATTCCTAAAATTATTTCCTTGTGCCTTATCTCTTTTTCCCTTTGTCTATTTTATTAGTATTTCAAAGAATCAGCTATTGGTCTTGTTGATCATTATCGTGTTCTGCTTCTTTAGTTTCTGCTTCTCATTTCCTTACTTCTACATCAGACATATTTTGCTGGTACAGTTGTTGTCTAGGTCAGAAGACAGATTCCTGGTGCTTTCCACCATCTTCCCAGAATCCTCTCTAAAGTTTTTTTTTTTTTTAAAGCTACATTTCACAAATTTCGAAACATAGTATTTTCATAATCACTCTAAGGATTTTCTAATTCCCCTTCTGGTGCCTTCCTTGATCACTAAGTTAGAAGTATGTTTTAAAAATTTCAAACATGGGTTTTTTTCCCTCCAAGTTTTTATGGTCCTTTAATTATGTTGCTGACATATTGTAGTCTATACAGTATTGCTTCTTTGGTATTTACATTTGTAAATGTTCTGTATGTACTTGAGAAAAATATTCCTTAAATGCTAGGTAGAAATTTCTAAATATACCTATTAAATAAAAAATAGAACACTTGATTAGATCACAACTAAAGAGTCATTCTGGTCGTTAACCCAAAAGAACAGTACTAGAAGTAAGGAGCAGAAAAACCAAACAGATTACATTTTTTGTTCTGCATTGAGGAGGCTTGGCAGGCCCTTTTTAAAAAACAGAAACATAAAGCTCTAAGCAGTCCACATAGAAACTGGGAGAAGAAAGCTACAATATGCTTTTTGGTAGAAATGATTTGACATACAAATTTATTTATTTGACCGTATTTTAAAAACCAGAGCAGAACCATATCCATTTTCTTCATGGTGTCATTACACACAAACTGAGCCCTGAGTTGGCTTTGGAAACTTCTGAAAAGCTAACTCTTAGCAACCTAGCAAGCCTTTTCCCTTCCCTCCAGGCTCTCCTGCTCTTTGGGAGGTGCTGGTGATGCTAAATAAATGGCATGTGGTAGAGGAGCTTATGCCTCCTCCCATAGGCAACAACATGACCTGGGTTATTCTTTATTTGAAGGCACTGAGCAAGCAGGTGATCAAACACAGAGAATGGAGGGAAGGTTCACTGTAGGTAATTTCCATGGTTAGGAATGGATGAATTGTCAGAGCTTAACTGTTTAGTACCTTTGTGGATCGGAGAGAGATATCCTAGCAATGAATCTTAGATCTTTGATCTATTGAGAGCAGTACACTCAGTTCCTTTGATTAAAATGTGTTGGAAAAGCCATCTCTGGGTAGAAAACAAAGAGTAGTTTATTACAATGGTACTGTAAGAGGAAAATCAAAGCAGTGAACAGTGAGCAGTGTCTCTTTCCTCTTGAACTCTAGTGATCACTTCACTCCTGTCATCTTTATGGTCCAACCAAACTCAACTGGGAAAGCAGAAGGTGATAACTGGGGCAGATAAATGAGGAGGCCTTCTGATGGACTTGTGGACCATTTCAGATCTTTCTGGATCCCCAACATCATTATCTGCAGAAAGCAAATAGGAATGGAGAACATATTAACGCATTAATGAGTACAGAATATGGCCTGAACACGGCGGGGAACAAGCACGCTGGGCCAGGGCAGGGAAGACAGTCTGAAAGGGGAGCAAATATGGGAGAAGCCTGGGGAGGGAAGGAAGAAGTAGGGAAGACCTGTCAATGCCTTTAGAAAAAGTTACATCTCTGAAAGGAATGACCGGGGCTCATTACCTGTGTAGTGGAGGTAGCTTGGGGGGATTTAAGGCTTAAGACTCCATTGTCTGGCCAGTGCAGGAAAATGGCATACACTGTCGATCCTTTTGAGGTATAGCTGGGGAAAAAGAAACATCGTTGTCAAAGATACCTGACAAATAACCTACATTCCCCTTTCTATTATCTACCAATCCCAAGACCTTGAGTCTGTCACTGCACTCACAACTCAACACCATTTAAGGTCTGTGGGAAGAAAGCAGCCTCTTTCTGGTAAGAGCTTCCATTTTCCCTCTCTATTGGTTTATAAGTTTTCTTTAAACATTTTTTAACTCTTATACTAGTTCTTTCACACCAAAACCATTTGCCTTAGTATTCAAATATCTTTTTTTTTTTTTTTCCAACCCCAAATCCATGTGAAAACACCAGAGGATTTAACAAGGGCAAGATGCGCAGTGAAGACAAATTTGTCCTTCTGGGATTTCACTGTGCTTAGAGAAGAAGATGAAAACCCCTGAATAGAAACTCATCTGAAACAGAGGGGGATGACGTGGTTCCCCTGATCCAAGGACCTGTGCTCTACAGCACAGCACTAGCAGATATCCTTTACTGAACACGGAGCATGCGCCTGGCTCTCTGCTGGGAGCTTTGCATATGTTATCTCATTTAACCCTCACAACGACTCTAGGAAGTTAAGTAGCATCATCCCATTTGGCATTAAAAAAAATTCAAGCCCCAGATCAAATAGCTAGATCCACAATTCCAAGTATGAATCATGACTTCTCCACTTACTAGCTCTGAGATCCTAGGCAAGTTATACTACAGCCCTGGGCCCCCAGTCTCACTCGTTACGTGGGGATAATGAACAGTTATCGATCTGGTGGGCTTGCTGAGGGGATTAAACTGGTGGAAAGAATTTAGAACGGAGCCTTGCACACTGTAGGCGCAACACAAGTATGAGCTGTTACTGCGTTGACGAAGCAGGGTAACGACGGCAAGTAAATTGACTGGCGCTTTGGGGCTCCTTTTTGCACCGAGCCTAACACCTCCCTCACGAGTCAAAGATATCCTGGTGGCCTACGACGTCAGCTGGGGTACAGTTTTAATAGCCAAAGAACAGCTTTCGGGTTTCCTTGAGACGACTTCCAGCTTGGCTAACACTGCAGACACGAAGAGGTGCCAGTTCAGGATGGGCTGCAGTTCCCTTTCTGCACACGGAGGAAGACAAGACTCACCATAAAGATGTGTTCTTTTCCGACTGCATCCTCCACGGTTTAGAGGCATAGATAGCCTCCCCGTTGATCCTCAGCCACTTCCCTACAGCAAGTAGCCTTTCTTGGAAGACGGGAACAATCAGTCCATCTTTAGTTGGCCCAATGTTGAGAAGATAGTTTCCTCCCATACTTACTGTCTGAACCAGTTCCTGGAGAGAGCAGAAGGAATGAAATCCTAGCTACGAATAATGCCGAGCCTGGCATAATGCCTAGAACACACAGGTATTAAGAGAAGAAAAGACTCTAGGGCACATTTTCTCCCTGCTTTGTGAATAACCTTTACCCTTTTGAAAATACTATATATTTTTGTAATTATAAAAGCAGGACAAGCTTATACGAGAAAAATAAAAAATACTGCTACAAGATGGAGAAATATATTAATTCAGATTCCAGGAAGCGATCATGGCCGCTTCTCCATGAGACTGTCTTATGATGGTGGTACGGAGGGTCGTGTGTCAGAAGCACAGAACTCGAGTAGGAAAGCTGAGAACAAAGCACTTCGCCATGAAGGGATCACATGGAGTCATACAGAGAGAATATGGGGCTCAGAGAGAAGAGACTTGGAGGGGGTGCCCAGGAGACTTTAGGGAAATGGAAGAGATCTGAAGAATTTAGGGACACTGTATGCGATGGGCTATACAAATGTATATGCCGCCCCTTCAGGAAAACATGCTGTGAAGAGATACAACAGTTCCCCACCTTATCCGAGGTTTTGCTTTCCTACGGTCAACCACCGTCCAAAAATATTAAATGGAAAATTCCAGAAATAAACAATGCGTAAGTTTTAAATTGCACATCGTTTTGAGTACCTGACTTCATCTCATCACGCAGGTTACTGGATCATCTCACATCATCACAAGAAGGGTGAGCACAGTAGAATAAGATATTTTGAGACCACACTCACATAACGTTTATAACAGCATATCGTTATAATTGTTTTATATTATTATTCGTTATTGTTATTAATCTCTTATATGTCTAATGTATAAATTAAACTTTGTCAGAGGTATGTATGTATTGGAAAAACAGTACATATAGGGTTCGGTACTATCTGTGGTTTCATCCACTGGGGGTCTCGGAACGTATCTTTGTGAGTAAGTGGGGGACTCATGTACGTTCTTCAAGATTTCTGGAGTGGGATGTGTGTGTGTTTACTATGACTTTAAACAGGTGCACTTCAAGGTGGCCCAGAAAAATTAAGGTTATATACAGAAATTTTAAAAAGGAGAATTGGTTACAGTACTAAAAGACATCACACCATTAACTTTTTATGTTTCCTTCTGGTCTTTTCCCTATGTAGTTAACTTTACATAATTGTGATAAAATGTAATTTATTTTTTCACTCAACACTCTAAGCATTAACCCATATTACCTTGATAAACATTTTAATGGTTAAGGACAATCCCCAAATCTACTTAACTATCCCTTTATGATTGCAAGAAATTGAAACAACCTGTATGTCCGACTGAAAATAATCCTGGGAAGAATAACTCTGTGTGTAACTTTCTTCTGTAATTATAATTATTCCCTCGGGACAGGTCATTTAATAACCTAAAGGCTTCTATCGGCCTGCATTTCCATCCAGGGTGCTTCCACCACACGCGGTTAGAAGGCTAGTTTGAGATAGTAGTTAACAAAGAACTAACTCACGGGTGTCTTACCGAAATGATTTCAGCTTCATCTGCAATGTCAGACATCACTATGTCGCGACGGTAGCCCCAGGAGAGCTTGTCTATGCTGCTGCACATCTCCCACTTGTGACCTGGCAAGCTCGAAGGCTTGAATTTATCTTCACAGTTGTAGTATCCTCCATGGTGACAGGAACAGTTCACGCCCCATCGGTCATTTACTACCACCTCACTCTAAAGGAGGAAAGAGTACAGGGTCGTCAGGGGTAAAACCCCTTAGCTTCCTTACATAACACACTGTGATAGATTAAGAGTCTATTTGGAAGCAAGGAACATAGTTAGTCTACAGCAGTCGTTCTCAACTGGGGGCCATTTTGCCCTGGAGAGGAATTTGGCAAAGTCTAGAGTCATTTTTGGTTGTCACAACTGGGGTGGTGCTACTGCCATCTAGTGGGTAGAGACAGGACGGCCCCATTACAACAAAGAAATATCCAGCCCCAAATGTCAGTAGTGCCGAGGCTGAGAAACTCTGGTTTAGTGATATGTAACCTTAGAACTGGAAGAGCCTATTTTAAAGATCATCTAGTAAGTGACTTATTCTATTAGAGTAGAAATGGAGAGAAGACTTGCCCGAGGTAACAACCCCAGGTAGTTTCCAAAAGCGGGGACTATGAATCAGGTATTTGAAACCAGCCCAGGACACTTTCACTACACGACCTAGTAAAGAAAGCCAGCAATCAAATATTCTTTTCCTTCAAGGTTTAGCTGAACTATGAGAAAATATTACATGGAATATCTAGATTAAATGTTTACTACTACTATGAGGCTCATACTGGGGTATCCAAGGTGAATAAAACAGTTCTTGCCCTCAGAGATCCAGCAGAGATGAGCTAAGGAGACAACTGTCCATAATATGTAGACAATTATAATATGACATTACATCAGAGTTAACTATCTAGGGATTAATGTAAACGGGAAACACTGATCCAGGGGTGCTTCTTACTTTTGCCAGGAAAGAATATAAATTGTCCAGAGCCATATTTAGTTTACATTTGACCAATATTTATTATGTGCCCAGCCGGGCCAAGTGCTGTTCCCAGGGTTGGGAATACAGCCATGAACAGACCCAAACCCTGGCCCTTGTAAAGCTGACAATTTAGTGAAAGAGACAGATAATAAAAAGTGTAAATGGTATCTGAAATGTGTTAGACCAGGTAAATGCTAAGAGAAAGAGGAAGCAGGGAAAGACATGTAGCATGACAGGGACGTGGTGCAATTGGACATAGGGTGGCGGGGAAGCCTGCACTAACGGATGACCTCTGAGCGAAGACCTCCAAAGAGCACAGGAGTGAGCCATGCAGGAATTACGGAGGGAATGGCAAGGAGAAGGGACTGTTTCACCTACAAATACCTTTCTAATGTGAATATAGCTCCTAAATAACCCTCTTTCCTAATACAGGAGAGAGCATTCGGAACAAGAGTGGGTAGATCAGGGTCTGCAGCATCCCACCCAAGGGTCCACATCTGAGTCACCCGGTGAGGACCCTCAAGGGGGAACTATGACGCTGTGCCACTAAAAGTCCCCACACATTTGGCAAGTCCCGGAAAACTACTCTTAATTTGTCACAAGGGATCTCTTTCTTTTTTTCTTTCTTCCCATTTTCTGAGTTTAGTAATAGTTACCCAATAAGAGGTTTGAGTCTACCAAGATAGCTTAGTTCCAACTATTCTTATACTTAAGATTTTTCTAGCTCCACAACAAATCTAGAATATGTGAAATTATTGAAATTTTCGATAGTGAAGATTAAGACTTCTGCTACTTCGTAAGTGGACCAAAATACAAACAGTAAATGGGCAGCTATTATGCAGTGTAATAGTGTTGGTTATGGGGAGGAGGGGGAGGAAGACAAAGTTCCCTCAAAAATTTGGATAAAAGGAAAATAAAATTTCCCCTTGAGAGTTAAACTACATAATCAATATAGAGTAGGTGAGGTCATAGCTAGTCACATTTTACTCCTATCATTTAATTTTGTATGTTTGGTATATTAATTTTAGCAAGATTTAAACCTATGTTGTCAAAGTCATGTATTAGAGGAGAAAAATAAAGCTTATATTCAAGGAAGGGGGGTAGAAGGGAGAAACCCTTAACATCAATTAAGTCCCCTGGCCCCTACACCCCCACGGTGATATTGCTAGTTATTAATGCTGCTGTTGTCACTATTGTATTACTCCAGATCTTGGCTTCTTATACTTTCTTTTATCACAACAGATAAGTAAGAGATAAATCATATAATCACATACCTTGACTGGGCTAACATTGTAGAGCCAAGAAAGGAAACCTGTAGAGTTCCAGTAAGTATCGGGACTTTCCCAGTCTCCATCAGACCAAATCAAGTCAGGTTTGTACCTGAAAAACATGCAATCAGAACAGTTCATTATCTGAATCCATTCACAGTAAAATCTCATGAATCATTTTTTAACAATTTTCTCCCATTATGAAAGTACCATAAAATTACCAGTGTAGAGAATGTGGAAAACTAAAGAGACAAAAACAACCACAGACACACACAAAAAACCTCTCTGCTAACAAAACCACTATTTAATACACAGCACTTTTATAATTTTTATTATTATTTTTTATTTTTTAGGCGAGGCAACCCTTGGTCGACCTCACAGATTGCAAGGACTTTGTCAGCTTACGATCCCTTATTTTTTTTATTTTTTATGCCTACAGCACCTGGTCTTCCTAGGTGGCCTCCCATCCAAGTACTAACCAGGCCCGACCCTGCTCAGCTTCTGAGATCAGACGGGATCGGGCTTGTTCAGGGTAGTATGGCCGTAGACTGACTACACAGCACTTTTCTATAGTTCCTCCTAATCTTTTTCCTTTCATGTCTTTTTAAGAACTAGAGTTGTAATCAGTGTTATACAATTTGGTTTCCTTCTAGCAACTAATTTCCATTAAGAGTGGTGCTTCCAAATGACAGGATTAAGGTTCCCACTTCTGAGACTATTAAGAGCTTGAACTCTTCCTCCAAATGCGTTATTTTGGACAACTACCCAAAGCTTCGACCATAACGCATGTATAGAAAGAACCACCTGAGCCACAGCTGCACCTTCATACGTTATTACTCTTTCTGGAAGAGTTGTGAGTGTGAGCATTACCTATAAGGTAAGCGTTATTAGTCCCACTGTAGAAAACAGGAATCTGATGCGCCACAGGGCAATTTGTTTTAGGTGACAAAGCCTGTCACAGGAGCTGGGTCGCAAATGTAAATCTGCCTAATGTCAACTCCTATTCTGTACTCCGTAACTAGGAGAGCGAGTAGACTCCAGGAAAAAGATTGCCTATTTAAGGGGCAAGGTATAGTAAGCCGTGTTTTACCGTGTACGAGAAACTGTACTAGGCATTTTATATTCACCACTTCATTAGTTCTTACAGTGGTGTATATTATCCCCATTTCACAGATAGAGAAACAGAGATCTAGAAAGATCAAGTAGTTTGTTCAAGGCCACACAGCAAGAAAAAAAAAACTGGACTTCAGATCGAGTTCTGTCTGACTCCGAGCTTCTGCTAGTCTCTTACAACTGTACTATTTCTTTAGAGTGATAAATCCCAAAACAAAAGTGATCATTTTAAGAATATTGATAATAACACTTATTCTGTACCAGCCACAGTAACAGATATTTTTCACATATTACTCTGAGCCCTCCACAGAAGGCATTATTTCCTCACTCGACGGGATGAGAATCTGAGGTGCACACAGGTGATTTGTTTAAAGCTTATAAGTAACAAGAGCTAGGATTCAAATGCAAATCTACTGGATGCCAAATCCCACACAGGGTCCCTGAGACGCTGTTGCTCTCTCCAAGGTGCTGACAAAGAAGACACCGAGGGAACCGAAGTTCTGACTCACTACTGTCCTGGGTTTTGTTCGATTGTTTCAATTTATAAAGGTAATGTGACCACATTACTGAAGTTTTGCAAAGTAGGAGGAAAAAATATATTTTGCTTTAATACAACCACCATTTTTATTATTTTGATGTCCTCTAGATTCTTTCATATACTCCCTTCTGTCCTTTCCCCCAACATAACAGTATCCTCTAGGAAGCTCTGATTTTATTGATAAAAGTCATAAAGCCAAAAACGTTTCTGTTTCTTACCTGTTAACAAGGTCGTATAGCTCTGGGATTGATTTTGCAGTGACAAAATACTGTGTTTTGAAGCCATTTTTCTTATCGTGTAGGTAGAGTGGATGGAACCATTCTAAGAGAGAGTAATAGAGTCCATAGCGTATGTTCCTTAAACAGAAAAAACAGGACAGTAACTGTCTTTAAACAATGGAAAAATAGTTTAAGAAAAATCAGTGGCAGTATTTTTACACCTCAGTGAAAATCACCCATGAGGCCATTCCGGAGAGTGGGATCCAAAACCATCTCCTTAAATTATCTCTTATCATTCAATTAAGCAAACATGATTGGGTTTACTATGTTTCTGATAGTACATAAATATTTTATTTATTATTTTTTACATAAATATTTTAACATCAATGTCACTTAAGCCATATTTTAATCTTTAAGTTAATTATCTCAATCATAACATACAGTCAGTTTTTTAAAAAATGTTTTCTCTGTCAACCGTAAGATTATGTATTGTAGAGATATTGAAAAATAGAGAAAAGTATAAAGAATAAAATATCCAAAATTTTATCACTCAGAAATAATCATTGGTAACATTTTCATGTAGATGAAATTAATGAATAGTTTATTGTTTCACTTATCTAAGACTAATAGTCCTTAACATACCCAAAATGAAATGTAGTTAAACTGACCTATTTTCATATACAATAAAGCTTGTTTTGTTACAGAAACACTATAATGCAAGTAAGAAGTAAGGCTATATTGCAATGACACAGATGAAGCAGAAAGAATTGGAGTTAAGTATTTCATCGTAAGCCTCGGTAACTAAATAGATACAAAGAAGATAAAAATCAAGGATCCTAAAGTCTGGATCTAATCAACACCTGAGTTTTACCGCAGGACTATTAGCTAAGCACATCTCTGGGAAACTGAATATAGGAGTCAGCACATACTTTCTTAAAGGGCCAGATAGTATTTTGGTCTTTGCAGGCCTTGCAGTCTCTAACCAAGCTCTGAAACTGCAGCTTGAAAGCAGCATTAGACCACCCACAAAATAATGGGTGTAGCTATGTTCCAATCAAACTTCATTTACACAAAGAGGCAGCTGGCCCACACCTTAAACAGGACGTCATGTTTACCAAACCACAATAGGGCTGAGCATGGGCATGGTACAAATATGACTTTTACTCCTTACAGGCAAACATACCTGGAACTGTAGTGTCCAAACCCAGAATACCTGGGTTCAAATCCCAATTCTGCCACTTCTTATCTCTTTGATCTTGGGAAGTTACTTCTTATTAAGTGGCACATATTACAGAGCATTAATTAGAATCAACTCAGTGGCTCCTTACCTCACTTTTTGCAGCTTTAACTGCTCTTTTCAGTTCCCTTTTGATCTACCATTTATCTACACCTTCCCTGCATGCCTGCAAAGATCTATGTTAACAACTAAGGGAGATGCGAAGATGAGAGACCCAGTCCCTGGCCCAGATCCTTCCATCGGACACTGAAAAAGGATCTGGTTTGGAAGGCCTTCCAGAAAGAATCATTCACAGGGTAAATGGGGCATTGTGGTCTATGCTGGGTAACTAGACAGGGCCGTGAATTTCTCTGATGGTCGCCTTTGGTCACATGAAAACTGCCAACCATCAAACATTGCTAATTCAAAGGCCAGAAGCCCTTCAAGTTACTGGCTAAATGTAAACTTAGAAAATACACAAGAGTAGAGAGGGTATCATACACTGGATGGCTGCTAGATCAAAAGCAATGATGGATTAACCATTTGTAGACATATACCTCTTCCGAATGGCTGTTCCCAAGTCACCAACCAAATCACGATGGGGCCCCACATCCTTAGAGTTCCAGTTCCAAGACCTAGGACTTGGCCAGTTTGTGAAGCCTTCGTGATGCTTTGCTGTAAGGACTACATACCTGTGGACATCAAAACCATATGAGCAAAGGCAGTGGGCAGTGAGCTATGAGCACGAACTTATCCAACATACCTGAGGCTTTTGAAATGGGGGAACTTGCTATCTGCATGTGGAGCGAGGTATATGCAAAGGTGTTTTAAGACTAAAAAACAAAGCAGGCAACTCCATAAAACATAACAATTTATTACAGGGTAATTTACTTATGGGGATGTAGGGTCAGGGTGGACAGATGACCTGGGCAGTCTGCACAGCTTATTCTCTGCTGCTCTACAGTTATTATAGTAAATCTTCTAAAGTATAGCTGAACTAATAATTGACAAGGCAAAGGGACAAAGAATGCAGTATGAGCCAGGCACCCTAACTCCTAGGGGCCTTATGATTGATAATTGCTCAGCAGTGACACCAACACCTAGTTTGGTATTCGTCTCAGTTACTATACCATTCTGGCTGTTTACTGACAAGAATCTTTATGATTACGTTGTGTAGGCTTACAGAACAGTTAGGCATTAACCAGCTACAAGGCCTGTGTATGCTGGCCATGACTATTTAGGTTAGTCAAGGGCAAAGTATGAATAGAGAGAGAGTGGGGGCTTACAAAGATGGAGTCAGTTTGTTCACACTGATATCTATACACTCGCCTATAGGAAATGTACTTGTATGAGTTGCTGTCGTCACAACGCCCCTTGGGTATTGCTCCAGGAATGGAAGCAAACTTGAGGAAGCCACTGTCCTTAGTCCCCTGCCTAGGAGAAAGCCCAGAGGGAAGGAAGGAGTAGGTGAAGGAAAAGATATGTACCTTAGCTCTCTCCGTTCTTCAACCCCTCTGGGAATTAATGATTAGCTTTTCTTAACCCTTTGCCCTAAAGAAAGAAATATCTACTGGAAATAGCAAATGATAGAAAAGTAAGCTATCTGTTTCACCAAGCCCATATGTTCTTCAACCCCTCTGGGAATTAATGATTAGCTTTTCTTAACCCTTTGCCCTAAAGAAAGAAATATCTACTGGAAATAGCAGATGATAGAAAAGTAAGCTATCTGTTTCACCAAGCCCATATGTTCTTCAACCCCTCTGGGAATTAATGATTAGCTTTTCTTAACCCTTTGCCCTAAAGAAAGAAGTATCTACTGGAAATAGCAGATGATCGAAAAGTAAGCTATCTGTTTCACCAAGCCCATATGAACTGCCTCTCATTTACAGAGGTGACAAAAATCCCTCTGGCCATGGTTTGCAGACCCTTGGTGTGGGAGAAAGAACCTTCTCCTTGGAGTCGAAAAAATCTGGAATCAAGACATTAGTTCCCTTCCTCTACCTGGGCCAGTTATCCCGTCCACGAAATAAGGGGCCTGCACAAAGGATGTTTCCCAGATTTTTATTTTTTATTTTTCATTTGTAAATTATGGATCTCTAATTCCTAGGAGATAGAAAACACCTCCTCTGTTCATTCAAGTCTTATATTCCCATTATTCTCATATATTTAATGGCAGACATTGAACAGTTGTAATTTCTCTTTAGTACAACAGAATGTAAAGTCCAAGAGAAACTGAAACTGGGGAGATGATTGAAGAGACAAAGGTGGAAGACCGCTCCAAGCCTGGCTCCAGGAGATCTCCCTGCCTCCATTCTCACTCTCCTCCAACCTACTTCTCTTCTAACAGCCAAACTAATCCTTCTAGAAGCTGAGGGTAATCATTCCCTAACTTATTTAACACCTGGCTACATAGTGCCCTCAAGGATCACTCTCGCAGGACTGGCCCCAGCCTTCAGCAACCTCATGGGTCCTTGCCTCTCTCTTCCCCACCCAGCACTCAGTTCTCTGCGGCATCCACACACAAGCTCCAACAGTTCTCAAAACAATTCTAACACTTCTCGAGCACTTTCTGTGTGCAAAGCATTGAGAACAGCAGATGAATGAGAATCAGTACTGTTGCCCAAATACACTGCACACCAGAACTGAAAGCTGAAAGGAACTAATACAATCCTGTTCTATAACCATGGAAGGAGGCTTTAGGAAGGTGAAATGCCTAGTTCAAGTTCACAGTTGAACTAGGACCAGACTCCATACCACTGGCTTAAAATCCTGGAATCCTGATTGTCGACCTGGAATGGACAATTAGGTATCACCTAGCTCAATCTTCTCGATATACGGGTGGAGACACTGAGTGAGGGCTATCTCTCCCACTACCTCCCTGAAACTTTTTCCTTCTAATTCCCAACCAGATGCATCTTCCCCTTAAGATCAGGCGTTGCCACATTCGATTTTGCTTCCTTCTGGGGACAAAACACAGGACCCAGGGGTATCTTAAATCAGACAGAGAGCTGTGTGACCCTGGGCAAGTCGCCTCACCTCCCACAGTTCGGTTCCCACCTGCCTAATCCCCCTCCAATTGCTCTGATCCAAGGAGGAGGCGCTCCGCCCGCACCTGCGGCGACACTCACTTGGCCCCGGCGGCCAGGAAGAGGTCGGCCCACTCGTCCGGGTTGAAGAAGTGCGCCGTGAACTGCGGCGCGAAGTCTGCGTAGGTGAAGTCGGGCGGGTAGTTGTTCTGCATGAAGCTCTGGTACTGTGGCGCCCCCTGACCCTTCCAGTGCCACCAGAACCACTCGCTGCCCCAGGACGGCACCGAGTACACGCCCCAGTGCACGAATACACCGAACTTGGCCTTGTCGAACCACTCCGGCAGCGGCCGGGAGTCCAGACTCGGCCAGTCCGGGGTATAGCATCCCTTATTCCGTATGGCCGATCCTACCGTTCCGAGCGCCAGCAGCATGAGCAGCTGGGCACCTACCGCCCGCCACTTGATTTCGGGAAACCGCATCTTTGCCTCGGCGCCTCCACTGCCAGCTCTTAACGCGCAGGTACGGGCACGCGACCCCGCCCACTCTAACTAACGATTGGCTCGGAAGAAAAAAGGGGCGGGTCAACTCAGGCTGCTTGGCTACCGAGTTTCTTCCCCTTCTCCTCCGCCGTTCCTGTAGCGCCCTCTGACGCTCAAAGGGAAAAAAAAGTAAGGAAGCGTTGACAGCGCTCCGCTGATGGACGAATAAAAACTTTTTTTAGAAGAGACTTCATTGCGAGTTAAATCTTGGGGTTGTGGAAGGACCTGAGTGTGCAGAGAACTGCGAGTAGTACATTTTCCCGTTGGGTGCCATACAGGACTTTTTGAGCTGTAGTATGGAAGAGCAAGCCTGGAAGTCGGGCAGGTAGTTGTTCCGCAGGGATACCAACCAGATGGAAGGGCATTGTAACGGTCCTGGTAGAAACAACAAGTAGGATGATGGTAGAAACATTATGAGGCACGCGGGGATAGAAAAGTGGGCGCTGAAAGAGGAAGAGCAGGTGTGACCATTTTTCCTAATACTTATTGAACTTCGAGAATTCTGAAGCCATTCAAAGAGCATAACATCTAATGGGGCGGGGAGGAAGGACTTCTAGTGTAAGTAGTAGGATGCAAAAATGAGAGCCCCGGGACCTGGGACTACCTTGTCTCTCAGGAAAGTCACCAATTCCTCTACAATCCGTACATGCAGTGCATGCTCAGACAGGAAGTAAGGCCAACAGGTCTAACATGTGAAGTCTAACGACCCCATGTGGCACAGCCTGTTCCCACATATCAGTGAGAGAACTGCATGTCAGAGTTGGAAGGGACTTTGGAGATCCTCTGCATGGGCTCCTTTCCTCCATTTTAGGAAGGAGGAAACCGAGACCCAAGTAGGGATGATGAATGCTGCTCAAGATCATGCAGCTAGTTAGAGTAAGAAGTGGGACCAGAACCCAGCTCTCCAGAAGTGGAATCTATGTCTCTCAACACGCTGCTTCTCTCTTGCACCACAGGAGAGGTCAGAACCTGTGTCGACAGAACCAAGCACTTCCTCATCCTAGGAGTGGTAAAGAAATACAATGGCTGTAGCTGTTATTTTTTTTTATCTTCGGTGTTTCTTCTTCTGCAAGGCTATGCTGAAATATTGTCCAAAACAGTAAGCACAGACACCTTAAAACCTCATACATTTTCTAGTGATCAGAATAATGATCTTTGATGTTACAGAACTCATTTCTCCTTAACCTTGTGAAAAATCAATCAATAGAAAACTCTTTTAAAATGCAGTCGGGAAGCTAGAAGAGAGAACGCTCACTCACATATTACTCCATGCATACTATTATACTCTCCAGTAGGAAGAGGTACACCTTGCATCTCTGATAGGAAGTGATACTACAGTACTACCTCAGCAGGAGAAAGTAAAGATTCCTCCTTCCTCTGTAACAGCTCAGCGGATGAGAGACTAACATAACTCAGGCAATGAAAAGTCACTCTACTTCAAACGTTTAGTTTCTTCCAATGGACTCTTCATTTATAACAGGAAATAAAAGACCAGTCCAGTCCTTTATTTCTCTGGACTTGAGCACGGATTACCATTAGACCACATGTCCTGAATTGCCATTGTTGCTATTCCCAAACAAACTCATTTTGCTGGAGAAATATCTGGCTATCTCTTTGTTAAAGGTTAGCATCCTCATGACCAAACTGTAAATCTGCAAGGGCAGGTGAGAGACACTGTGATAGAGTGAACAATATTGGAAGTTGGGAAACCTGGGTTTCTTGCCCTGGACACTACCTTGTGGAGTCTCCTTGGGCAAGCCTTGTCCAATGTCTGGGCCCGTTTCCTCATCTAAACAATGTGGGCAGTTCTCAGTGATATCGAGGGCCTCTTTACCCCTTTGCTCTCCTCCTTCATAAACTATATTTCTTTGCTTAAAGCCTATATAGAATGTAATTATGAAAGAAGAGAGGTAGTAAGTGTGGAAGTGCATTTAATTCAATGATTTTCAAACTCTAGCTTTAATAAAGAAATATTTACTGAGCATCAATTTATGCCAGGCACTTGGGCATTTTCTTTGCTAAAATGAGAAAAGACCCCACCAATGAATAAAGAAAGGCATGCTCCAACTTTAAGGGATCGCAAATGCACCTTTAAAAAATCATGCCATTTCAACTAGGTTCAGTAGCATCCCCTAAAACTTCATGTCTACTCAAAACCTGTGAATGTTACCTTATTTGGAAATAGTCTTGTAGATGTAATTTGTTAAATTAAGATGAGATCATACTGGTTTAGGATGTGCCTTAGTTCATTGATTGGTGTCCTTAAAAAAAGACGCCAAGAGACAAGAGAGGAGGGGAGGCGGAAGGTCACCTGAAGATAGAAGAGATTGGAGTTATGTTGTCACAAGCCAAAGAACACTAGGAGCTGCCAGAAGTTGAAAGAGGCAACGAAGGATGTTCCCTTTGAATCTCTGGAAGGAGTGTGGCCCTGTCAGCACCTTAGTTTCGGATGTCTATCTTCCAGAGCTATGAAAGAATAAATATCTGTTGTTTTCAAGCACTCGGTTTTGGAGGAAACTATACAGGAAACTAATACAGGGCATAAAAAGAAACAAATTCAGAAATAATGATGAGTTAAGGTTACAGAATTTGACTGAACTAGGTGAAGAGGTTAGTGGTCAAGAGGGCAGGCTTGGTCGTCAAGCAGAACTGGCCTGGAAACCTCAGCTTTCGGTACATGTTAGCAGTGTGAACTCAGGCAAGTGATTCTGCCTCTTCATCAGGTTATTACGAAGACAGAGTGAAATATATCATTTAAAAATACTTAGCCCAGTCTACAGCCATGCCACCCTGAACGAGCCCAATCCCATCTGATCTCAGAAGCTAAGCAGGGTCAGGCCTGGTTAGTACTTGGATGGGAGAGCACCTAGGAAGACCAGGTGCTGTCGGCATAAAAAGTAAAAAATAAGGGACTGTAAACTGACAAGGTCCTTGTAATCTGTGAGGTCAACCAAGGGTTGCCTTGCCTAAAAACAAACAAACAAACAAACAAATAAATACATAAAAATAAAAGTACTTAGCCTCGGCACACAGTAAAGACTCAATAAAAGCCAGCTGACATTTATGACAAGAGAACGTAGTAGGTCTACTCTACCTAAAGTTGCCTCAGTTAACCTCTATCACATGACCCTGATGATTTAATTCATTGTATCACCTGGCATATAGTAAAGACTCAATAAAATCCAGCCAGCATTTATGACCAAGGCACGTAGTAGGTCTACCCTACCTAAAGTTGCCTCAATTAATCTCTATCACATGACCCTGATGATTTCCTTCATTGTACCACCTGTAATTATTTTCTTTACATTTATTTATTGTCTTTCTTCCCACCAGAACAGAGAACATGAGCCCCACTAGACAGGGGAAGAGTTTCATTTATGGCTGGGCATCCAGGACCCAGCACAGACCCTGGCATGTATTTATGAGATGGGTGGATGAGTGAATGAACAGTGAACACCTTGTCTTGTGAAGTATTAAATGAAGATATGTTTAATCAATATCATTGCTTTTATTCTGTCTACATTAAAATTCCTCACAATCTTCTTGCCACCAACAATTTTTCTTGCCTACTGTTTTAAGCCCTTCCTGTAGGAATCCAGCTTCCCTGATATGTAAAATATGGTGTCTTGAGATCTTCAAAAGCATGGAGATAATAGATTGTGGGATATCAGCCCTGTGCTTGAGACATAGTAAAGGAATTTCCCCCTCCTCCCACCTGCTCTGTTTATTATTTGTTATAGGGGTGTGGAGGAGACAAAAAGGGCTGAACTGAGAACAAGTGGGAACAATTTGGGGATTTATAAAATCTTCGTAAATATCTTCTTTTTTCTTGGAGTTAGGTTAGACTGTGACACTGCCTGCTTCCAGTGGCACCACCAAATAGGATTTCATTGGGTCAATAAAGTTCTCTGAAGAGTCTGTGTCTCAAGTGGTCCCAGCTTCCTCTGTATTCTCCTAGAGACCTCAGAGGTCACAGTAAGGATTATTAAGGTGTCATAGAAGGCCATTGCCTCAATAACAAGATGCTCTGAACTGAAAGTTTGTCAGTTACCCCCGAAAGAGATGCTTCAACACTCTTGATCCTCATTGCATCACGCTTCTTGGTCCTCAGTGGGAAAGGGTGACCTAACCGTGGGGACTTTCATGCTCCAGAACTAAAGGGGCCACAACAATTAAGCAGGAACATATATATAATACTCTGAGATCCCAGGAGAATACCCATTCTTCTCAGACTTCCTCCAAGTCCTTCATTGCTGAGCCTGGAGGCTCCCTCTGGCTTCTGTGGTCTCTGGAAGATGCAGGCACTAAGCCATCCTGTTGAGAAGGTTTTCCTGACCTGACATGCACTGAGCCTCTTGCCTCCTGCCTCTTGCCCATCTTTCCTCTCCTAACAGGGCCTAGTTGTCCAACAGACTGTGTGCAGATAGGCATGGCCAGGCTACTCTTGAGGGGTCAGTGCCAACACTCTTCAGTGAAAAAGGTAAATGTCCAAGCCCCTGGGGATGGATAAGATGAGATAGTCGAGATGGCTCTCTCTCCTCCAGGGAGTGAAATGATTCTGACTTGGCTTTTTTAAAACTGTGAAAGAGGCCACATCAGCAGTATAGACCTCTAGAATCTGGCCACTGGGTGATTTTCACATCAGCCTCTGTCTCAGTGACTGAGGACCTCGGGGCCTCTTCTCTTCCTTCAGGCCCACGTCCCCTCAGGTGCTTCTTCCAACGGGCCAGACAGTGGTAGGCGGAGCTGCGGATCTCCCCACTCCGCAGGGCATAAATGATGGGGTTGATCATGGAGTTGATAAGGCAGAGTAAGGAGCAAAAGGCGAAGACTTTCTTGACTTGGTCACTTAGGGTGGTGGCCAGGCTGTAGACCATGAGGGCTAGTACTGGGAACCAGCATATGAAGAGCACAGCCAGCACCACCCCCAGGGTCTTAGCCAACCTCACATCTAGCCTCATCCGGGCCATTCCTGGCACCTGTCTTCCCTGGTGCTCAGCCAAGCTGGCTACATGCTGATGGGCCTTCCAGAGGACATGCCCGTAAGTGTAGATGATTCCAGAGAAGAGGAAGGCAATGAACAGGAGCCAGCCCAGCAGATAGTCATTGGGGATCAGAGGAAAAAGCTCGGAACAGGGACTGGGACAGCAAGTCCATCCCATGAGAGGCAGGTAGGAGACCAATGCTGAGAGGACCCACATGATGCCCAGGGTCACCAGTGCTCTCCCACGGGTGAGAAGGGCTTTGTATGCAGGTGGGTAGCGCAGACAGAGGTAGCGGTCAATAGCTGTCAGCAGCAGGCTGCCTACAGAGGCTGTGAAGGTCAAGGTCACGCTGCCGATCTTCAGCAGAAAGACAGCCTTGGAATCTATGCCATGGAAGACATGGAAATTTACAAAGCTGCACACAAAGACCACACTGGCCAGGAAGTCAGCCCCAGCCAAGCTGCCAATGAACAGATATGAAGGCTTCCTGTGGAGCCGGTGAGAAAATAAGATCAGGTAGAGCACAGCCAGATTCTCCAGGGCACTTAGGAGGCCCAGGGTAGCACACAACACTGCGACGGCTATCTTTTGCTGACTGCTCAGGATCATGTAATCCTTCATGGGGTTGAAATCCAAGCCATCCTTGGAGCCATTGGCTGCCTCCATCACTGAGCATTTCTCCATGGGGTGGGTCCCTCAGCTTCTGCTGGGCTTGCCAAAAGGTCTTTACTGCAGTACAATGAGAAGAAGAAATGAGTCTTTTTCAATCAGCACAAAAATGACCTCACATAATCACTGTCTCTAGCCAAACCCTTTACCTGTGCAGATGGATAATACGTTGACATAGCAATTTGTATTTCGTTCCCTCTGTATTTTGCCCTTTCTCCATTCTAGTGGGGCGCTAGGTCTATACTGGTTGCCTTCAGAGAGGTATGTGGGAATTCAAGAAGCAGAAGTGGTCTGTAAGCTTTTTGGTCTTTTGTTTTCAAAAAGACTAATCCTAAGACTTCCCTTTGAAAGTAAGAGAAAACTCCAAGGGTCAAAAATCGAGAGGAAATAAAAACCAAGAGAAAATGAAATCCAGGGCAGTAAGATGGAGAGGTTTTTTACACTGGTGTTGTGTTTTGTTTGCCAGTTTTGGTAAGTAAGATGCTGAAGTTTAAACAACTATTTAGGGATGGGAGAAAAGACTTTGTCTTCACACCAGTAGGATTGCCAGATAAAATATAGGAGTCCAGATGAATCCGAATGTCAGGTAATGAATCATTTTTTAGTATAATTTTGTCCTAAATATCGAGAAAAAAATAAACCAGGGCACTCAAATATTGTATGAGACATTCTTGAAAGGCAAATTCCAAATTTCTCTAGAGGGATATACTATCTATCAAGATCACACAAGATTCCCACATAGAAAGGCCCACGGACCTTGAGCTCACAATGCAAAATTACGAAATGCATAAGGAAACACGAACAAAAGTTAGCAGATGTGTCAGACAGAATTAGACTTCGAGGAACTTCACATGGGTATATGTTATAAAAATATGTTTCGTATGATTAAACGATAGGAATCAAAAACATAAATACATAATGAGAGACTGCGCAGATTCGAAAAAGAATCAAGTAGAATTTCTGGAAGTGAAAAATAAAGTCACCGAAAAAAGAAAATCTGAAGAGCGAGTTAAAGAGCACCACAGACTCGTTGAGAAGCATTGATCTAGAAGGTAGATCTGAAGAAATTTTGCAAAATGCAGCACAAGGAGGTAGAATGATGGGAAATATGAAAGAGGTTAAGAGATATGAAGGATTGAATGAAAGGTTTAAATATATCTAATCACAGTTTCAGAAGGGAAGAGTAGAAATGGTGGTGGGCATTTGGGTGGCACTATTCAAAGAGATGATAGTAGAGAATTGTCCAGAATTCTCCTGGACATGACTCCTCAGATTCAGCAATCACAGTGAACTCCAAGCAGAATTTTTAAAACTAACTAATTCTACATTCACATATATCACAATAAAACTCCAGAACACCAAGGACAAAAAGGAAAAAAAAAAAAAGCAGAAATAAAAGATACAATACCTGCAAAGAAATCATAATTAAATTTAAAAGCATTTGGGTGGCACTATTCAAAGAGATGATAGTAGAGAATTGTCCAGAATTCTCCTGGACATGACTCCTCAGATTCAGCAATCACAGTGAACTCCAAGCAGAATTTTTAAAACTAACTAATTCTACATTCACATATATCACAATAAAACTCCAGAACACCAAGGACAAAAAGGAAAAAAAAAAAAGCAGAAATAAAAGATACAATACCTGCAAAGAAATCATAATTAAATTTAAAAGCAGATTTCCTAATAGCAACAATAGTAGCCAGAAGATAGAGGGGAAAAAAAGCTAAATTATCCCTCAAAATAAAGATATACAAATAGAATTCTCCACTAGCAGACCTTTGCCGAAGATACATCTAAAGAAAATTATTTTTAGAGGGAAGAACAGATAGGCAAGAAGAAATTGTGAACAAAGAAGTTGATAAACATATAAGTGAATTTTTAAAAAGTGTCTGATTTGGAGGGTATAAAAACAAAGTGGAAGTAAAATTGTGAATGACAGTCACACAAACCAAGAGAGAGATGCGTAGAGTTGAAGCTTTTATTTAGGAAGTGATTATGGCATTGATCTAATTTAGCCTTTTCAAAATCAGGCATCATCTCTTACTTGTTTACTGTAATATTAACTGGGTTCTCTGCTTTTAACCAGACCCATCTTTAGTCTAATTTCAACATAATAGCAAAAGTGATCCTTTTAAAATATGTCAGATCATACCACAGCCCCAATGCTGCATAGGTCTCATTCTATTCAGTATAAAAACCAAACTACTTACAATGGCCTAGAAGGATTTATGTAAGTAGTTTGGTCTTTACCCCTCTGACCTCCCCACTACCGTGCTTCCCTTGGTCAACCAGCTTTACCCACACTGGCTTCCTGATCCTGGGTCCAACTTCCTGCCACAGAGCATTTACACTGGCTGTTCCCTCTGCCTGAACACTCTTTTCCCTAGATATATGCTTGGCTCAGTGTCTCATCTTCTTCAAGTTTTGGCTCGAATTTTAACTTTTCGATCTACCCTATCACACTATTTAATACTATAACTTACTCTACCTTCCTGTTCTTCTGGTCTCCTCTATTTTTTTTTTCATATCACTTATCACCTTCTAACATATAATTTACCCTGCATAAGTAACCTATTTATTATGTTTCATTATTTGTTTTGTCTGTTCCACTAGAGTTTAAGTTCCACAAGGTCAAGGAGCTATGTTGTTCACTTATATAAGGGCTTAGAATAATATCTGATATACAATAGCTACTCAATAAATATTTGTGGAATTGAATTGAAGCGATGTTGAATAGTGAGTGATTTTAGCATTTCTTACTCAGAAGTTGGCAGATTAAGCAGACGATACGCTAATTAATAGGCTGTATAAGATTCAAACACACAATTAACAAGCCTGATCTAATAGGCATGTATGGAACTCAGCACCCAATAATTGGAGAATACACATTGTTTTCAAGCAACTGTGATCATTTACCAAATGTCCAAGGTAATGTCATTTACCTAAGGCTAAGTCTTAGGTGAAAGGTAAATTCAACACATTAAAAATTATCTGTAACATACAAACCATGTTTCCTAACCACAGTACAATTTGTTTAGAAATAAAGAACTTAAAAAATAGAACTAATGAACTTCATAGGTACAAGGCTTTAAAAACACACTTCTGAATAATTCCTGGGTCAAAAAATCATAAAGGAAATTAGGAAGTACTTAGAATTATAACATATTAAAACTTGTGGGGTGCATCTGAGTGCTATCGAAAGGGATATTTATAACCCTACATGCTCATATAAGAAAAGAAAAAAGACTAATGAGCTACACATGCAACTCATGAAATTAGAAAATGAACAACAGCATAAATGCAAAAAAAGAAGAGTAAGAATTACATGGGGAAACAATAAAGAACAGAAAGAATTGATAAAAACCGAAGCTAGTTATTTTAAAAGATAGTAAGACAAACTTCAGGCAAGACTGCTTAAGAAAAAAGGAGAGAGCCCACAAATGAGAAAAATATCAGACATGAAAGAGAAATGTTCAACAGTCCTTTGGAAAGATGTCTAACCTCCGTAACATCCACAGAAATGCCAGTTTCACTCCAATCTGATTGGCAAAAGATTAAATCTGACAGTATCGAGTGTTGGAGACAGTGTGAAGCAACGAGAACTTGGAGCATATGACAGAGGTGTAAGCTGGCACAAACACTGTGAAGAGCAATTTGGCGAAATCTAGTGGTTATTGTTCTTTCACAGATAGAGGAGGCTCAGAGATGTTAAACCATTTGGTGGAGGCCATGCAGCTTCTCAAGGTCAAGGACTGACCATTCACTATTGCTGGGTCTTCAGTGCCATGCACAGTGCCTACTATATAGCAGATGCTCAAAAACTGCTTAATGAATGAGACCCATTTAAATGGAAAGGTGTATTCTCAAATGGAGTGGGACCAGCTGAATGTGTGGTCCAATCCTACATTCTCAAAGCCACAAAAACAGAACATGATCAAGGTCTGGCTCTTCCACTGTACATTGATGGGAACAGAAATCTAAAAGACTGGAGAGAGAGAGAGAGAGAGAGAGAGAGAACATGTATGTGTGTGTGTGTGGTGGGTGAGCACACAGTGAAGGTTCAAATCCCAGCGGGGGCTGGGAGGGTGGGAGGCAGGGAGCTTTTTCAAGGTATGCCTGGTTTCCCTATTCCTTATCTGTACAATGGATTTTTGCGAGGATTTAAGTAAATTAACATAATACATAGACGTTCTTATTGTTGTTATTATTATTAAGAGCATCTTCAAACGGGGATCATTCACCTACTCGGTGAGGTTGTTAAGAATAATAGGCCTGGTGCAACACAGAGCTCCATAAATGGCAGCCCTTATTATAATCCAGTGTTTTTTAAATTTTAAGAGAGCAGAATGCGTTTTACAATCGGTGGAACCCCGATTCATAAATCAGGTAAAATCTGAGTCATCTATTGCCTCTCTTCAAGGCAGCTCAGGTTCCTCTGTAAAATCTTCAGATTCCAAGAAACAGATCGAAAACCTCTTATTTAATCGACTCCATCATTTCACCATTGAGAAAACAGTCCAAGGATGGGTATGTAATCTGCCTAAGGTCACCCAACAAGTGAACAGCAGAGCTGGAACTAGGTTCCACATTCCCTAAGGCACAATACAAAACTCTTGTGCTGTAAGCACTGAGATGATTCTATCCAGAGAAGCCGAAAAGGGGCATATTCCCTGAGACAAAGGCACTTTGCTGAATGGTGCCAAGGTCACACTTGAGTTGAGACAGGAAATGGTGCCAGCCTGAGTCCTCGGCCCTCGTCACAAATAAGTGACAGATAAGGCAAGCCTTTCTCAGCTCCCACGTCCTGACCCTGCCACTTTTGGATGCTTCTTCCCTGTCCCCCAGCTGCCCCCGCCCCCCACTCTCCTATCAGAGAATGGCTTACCCCATGCAGAGTCCAGCCTAGAAGAGGGGTGGGAGTGGCTGCATTTGTGCTTCAGCGAGGCCTAGCGTGGCCACGGCCACCAGCCTGTGGTTATTTTCCAGATTAGGTCAGGGCAGAAAATGCAGACGTTTGCATGGGGGTCCTAGCAA